CACCTTTTTCCTAGCAGGGTGAGCTGTCATGATTCAGATTATAGGTATGGGTAATTCTCAAACCAGGCATTTACATGAGTTAATTCCACACTGTTCAGGTTTGAAGTTGTTTTATTAAGGAATTATTAATCTTATTGCTCAGCAGATTTTCAGCATCATTAGTAGGTTTAGCATGAGGAGCATGTCCTGGTTATATCACCAAACATCATCTTAAAGCTTTAATTGCCAAATAAAAACTCTTTCTCTCTTTTCTGAAATATACAACATTACTAAAGCACCACTTTGGTAGAATATTGTAGCACATGCTTGGCATATTTTAGGCTCTTTTGAAGTCAATGTTTAAGTGCTTTGCTGAATCAGGGCCTAAAACAATAATAGCCACAAAGTTAAGCGACTTTATTTCTGAATGAGTGTTTGCACAGGGGTCGAATGTGTGTCAGCTTCTTGTCATGACCCCCCAGGTACAGATATCCTCTAAGTTTCACTACATCACTTAGCAAATTTTGCAAATTGCTGTCTTGCACCCAGCTTGACATGTCAGGGTCGGACCCAAGTATGGTAGGCTTTCATTTGCAGAATGAGATCAAACTGAAATCAGATATGGGGCAATAAAGGGATTGGCAGCATCTCAAAGAGTGTACAGCTATTAGTAATTTCCTATATACATAGAGTGTGTGTGTGTGTGTGTGTGTGTGTGTGTGTGTATATATATATACACACACACACACACACACATACTTTTTTTGGGTTAGTGAAATCACTACAGTGCTTCAGACATGATCCTTTCTAGGCTATTAAAGAACTCATGGAAATTTTTACATCTCCTGCTAGCAGAAAGAGTTGTGGAAATACTATGGGTAATGGAACTGATGCTGAAATGGAGGAAGAAAGCAAGTTCATAGGTGACTGATCTTAGACTTACACCTGTGCAGTCTCCTTGCAACCAGGGGGAGCTCGTATGTTGGGTCAACTCCTTTGCTATTGTTTGCAGGGGTACAATATAATTTCGTACTACTTACTGTGATACCATAATCCTAGCAAAACATGATGCAGTGAGGTAAAATTATTAATGCCACTGAAGTCACTAAGTTTTATTTTCTCAAGTAGAATGATGCTTTTGGGGTCAGCGGTGTTATCTTATGCCATGTGCTTTACTGCTGTAAAGCAGTATATTGTGTTGGAGTGTTAACAATAAAGGCCAGTGCTGTGGGTTTGTTAATTCAAAGAACTCAGTGGTGGTATGGGACTGTTTCACAGAGTATGGATGTCATTGTCTTGTCCCACCTGGTAGTCACAGAATGCCCTATGCAAATGTATTGAGGGCTGGGCCTCTAAATAAAGCGCAGAGAGCGTAGTTTTTGTAGTGCATGCACTCTTCATAGTATTGGCTTGTTGCAGCCTTTCCCCTTATTTCCACACCTCTGCAAGTCATTACCTGGTGATGAGGAAGTGCTCTGCCTAGCTCTGCCTCTCCCAGTGAGGTCAGCAGGAGCTGCAGGCACTTGCCTCTTCATAGTATTGAGTTAAAACCACACTGGAACAGGGTATTGAAGCTTCGTTTTTTGCTGTTGAGTCTTACATATGTCTGAACTTAGATAAATTTATCTGTTGAAGTCACTGGAAAAATGGTCAGTAACTGTGGTGTAGAGGTGACGTGAGAGGCAGATAAGGTGGGCATCTTCTATGGGAAAGGGACAGAAGCTCTGCTGAAGGACAGAAAGTTATTCGGGGAGGTGGAAAAATCATAAATAATGTTACAAGAGTATTTTTATGTGGAACTTCATTTTATTTAAATAATGCAAAGGAAAATGTTACTGAAGTTGTGTAGTGATTAATCTCTGTTTACACCTACCAGTGATTTGTGCTGTTGTTGTGGGCAGCTTAGTCTGTAGCTCATCTGGTTTTTTTCTTTTTAAATCCCAAAGTTGATGTGGTGTTTTCACCTACTGAAAGAGATAAAATTTCATGAGTCATTTAGGAGCAAATCTGATTTTTGTTTTCTCTACTGTTGCTGATGATGGCCGCTTCATTTGGGAAGTGTTCAGTAAAGATTCTCAGACCTCAGCTTGTGGAGAGAGCGGCACATCCTTTCCTTTCCAGGCTCAAGGGCAGAGACGCCAGGTGTGCCCCGGTGAGGACTTCTCACACACACTCATCTTGTTAGTGCAGGTCTGCTCCTGCACGCCTCACGTGGCCTCTGCCTCCTGCGCTCTGGACCGCAGAGCGTAGCAAGGAGTGTGTTCAACCCGTCAGAAATGGGAAGTGTATCGGAAATATGAAACTAAACATCAGCCATGTGTGAGTAATGGATTGTCTGTGTCCTGCAGGGGATGGGGATACATATTCTAATGCAGTGTAGCCATGACACTGTAATTAACATCAGCTGCTCATGATGTCCTCTGTTTATCATCCCAAACTCTGTCCTGATCCTAAATTTAGTTCTGAGGTCTTGATGTGCTCATAGAAAAGCCCAGTGAGAAAAAAAGTAAAAGGTAGGAATGATTCTTGTTTCACTGGGGCAAATCTGAACCAAATATTTCACCTTTTGGTAATGAATTGATTAGGATTATATCTATGAGGCTTAGGATAGAAGAGTGCTTGTCTGGGGTCTTCTGTGATAGCCACCTGCCTAAGACCCAAAGCTTGGGCTATAGTTTTACTACTGTGTTTTATACCTACATATTTGTTCGTGCATAATATATTTTAACTACTTCATTTGTTTTGGTTGGAACTTTAAACTGTAACTGAGTGTACATGTAATGCAATGAGCGTTTTTCAGTTGTTTATAAGTGTTAGCTTGCGTGCTCCCCTGAGGTCCCGACCATATATGTAGATGTGGTCACCTAATGAAGTGCTACAAAGCCTTGTGATAAACTCTGGAGTGGGATGTGGTGCAGATGGTTTGTACATACTCCCATGCTACTAGTAATGGGGTCAATAGAAAATCTGAGACTGATCAGCCATTTCACCTGTCCACTGATCAGGTCCGAGGTTGGTTTTTTTTTTTTTTTTATTACTTCCATGTCTTTGAGCACTCCCTCTGCGGTGTAAAATAGGCCTTTCTTGGGAGAAGCTACCTGTCTCCCTCTTTCCCTAGTTATGCTGGTGAAACCGTGCCCACTTGTAGCATGCTATGAGTTTAACTCAGGTCATACACCAAAGGGAAATTTTCAAGACAAAAAACGTCAGATTTTTTTTATATTTGGCTCTTGTGGTTCTGCTGGACTTCACTGGTGCATTCTTAAGAAAAGTTTTTCTCTAGAAAAACTTTCATGTGATGGCATGTCAGCATCTTCTGGATTCTTGACAGCTGAAGTAGCTGTCTCTATCTCCTCTACCTGTGAATAGTCTGCATGCAGTTTTTGGTAATTGTAAAATAAGCCTCGTGTACATGCCTTTGGGTAGTGTTTTTGATAGGAGGAGAGGTGGCTTAAGTGTACAACCCGCTGGGAGCTCTGTCGCTTGCAAAATGTAGAGGTTTCAGAAGTACAGTCAATAACATTATAATAGCTATATGGAGAGACAGGTGTTATCGAACATCTTGGCTACCTCACTCTCTAGGTTTGTTCTAACCCCACCTTTGCTATCATGTTACAAACACAGTCAGAAGAGTAATAGGTTGGAAATCTTTTATATCTCCTCGTGTATAAACCTGGCAGTGTTGATTATGTAATGTACATACACATTCTCTTGTATTCAGCTCCCTAAATAACATATAAATGGTTTCGTATGCTAAATTTAAGTTTTTAATGCAGGAGTAGAATATCATAACGGCATAATGAAGTGCTTGATAGAGGAAAAAAGAAACTGATTTCCTCCTGAGTAGGGCATAGCCAGCTTTGCAATTTTACGCCCACTAGAGGGACTGTTGCTTACGCTACTCATTGCAGACAGCAAAGTCATGCAGTCCCTTTAGTATCTTTTATGAAGTTTTAAAACTTTGAATGACAGACTCTGGTTAAATCCTCTAAAGAGTAAGTTTCCAAAGCTATTCCTTGAAGTGTAAAGACTTCGGGCATGGTGCTGTTCTTCTGAGTCCAAATACTTTATACGGAATTTCCTTACTAAAATGTTCTTTCTTACTTTTTTTTTTTTTTTTTAAAGTATTTTCTGTTCTCTTCGTTAATGAGTCCAGGCTTTACTATATGATGTTACTGGAGATTAATTTAGGGTTTTTTTGTCACAGAAGGAATGTTTTGTTTTTATGTTTGGAATAAGGTTTTTTCGCAACCACTGTGCCAATGAATATGGTAAATTAATCGGTTCTCGTATTTGCAGATGTCATTGAAATGGGTTTCTCCTTTAACTGGGAGATAGTTTTGGTTAAGAGACATGTAAACTTACAGTCAGTATGAGAACTTCCAAATGTATCTGTTTTTTCATGTTTAGCTGGGGGATTTTTCTGTTTGAGTTGAATGTTCCTGACTTGCACATTTTACTTCTTAATTACAGAAACATGAAAGAATACAGGAAGTTCTGCATGACCACGATGAATACCTGTGCTAATTAAGTCACTGGCTGGGTACTGGGAGAACAGCAAGGTAAGCAGTCAGGCCATGCCAGCAGCATTTCTTGTAATCTGCATGATTGTATTTCAATAGAGCCTTAGTGCTTTCAGAGATCAAATTCATAACAAGTCGGGTGAAGACAAATAGCCCACAGGTTTGAATGCAATAGATTTAGTTAAAAGCTCTGGCAAGCAAACACCTCAGTGTTCCTTCCTGGGGCCAAAAAAAAAAAAAAAAAAGTACAAGTTCTGTGCTGGTTTTCTTTTTTTAAAAGGCAATATCTCCAGTTTGAACAATCGATTCATGACCAAAGCTCAGCTTCCTGGGTTGACTCTAGGGAGGGCTTGGAGGAGGGGTGGAATGCTTCAAAAACTCAGTTGATGAAAAGGCATGCTGTTTTGTGGATGCCTCCCAGAATTGTTTAAATCTGTGTGTGTGTGTGTATGCGCGCGCGTGCGTATGAAAAGAGAGAGAGAGATCTCCATGACAACTGGCCTGGCCAGTCTGTGTTCTCTGCAATCATTTTAGCTGGAATCAGTGCTGCGAAAGGTCATATGAAGGAGTTGTGGGAAGCACAGCAGGTATTAGACGCTAAACGACTGGTTTTCTGATTGCCTCAGATAATAAGACAGAGTTTTGTCTGGGAAATACAAATCTGAGAATGGAGTGGAAAGGGAAATGCTCCAAATTTCAGGTAACAAAAATTGCCTTTTTAATGTTATTTCCTCCCATTTTAAAGTTTGGTATGTTTTGTTTTTCTTTTTTTTTTTTTTTTTTTGTGGTGTTTACTCCCAGCCGAATGTCTGAGCAAGCTTGGATTCCCTAGCTCTGGGGAATGATGTCATGCGGCAACAGTTGGATTCTATTAGCCAGGGAAAGAGGAAACATCCTGCATTTTTGAAAGGAAAAAAAAAAAAAGATACTTTGGCTTTTTGTTGAATCCTGTGCAAAGGCTGCAAAAAGTGTTGGTTGTTTTTTTTTTTAAAAAAGTTGCTAAGAAATTAATTCACAGAAAATGTCATTTAGGATCTAGACAGCACCAAACTTTAAAACCACTGCAACAATGACTCCTATATGCAAGAAAATAATTATGGAAGTGTTAAGAGAATTCAGAAGACATGTCGGTCTTCATGGGTGCTCCTATATTCATCTTTAATGAGAGAATTAATTGCACCTTAATTAAGCAGAGGATTTGGAACCTCCACACACTTGGGATCCTTTAGCAATTGTTTGGAGAATGTGCTGTTAGAGATTTTCTTCTGGGCTGGGCTCCCTCTCAAACTGCTGTTTATGAAGAGATGATGCTGGCAGCATTGTTCTCAATAAGGTTTTTAGTCCTGGGCTGTATTTTTCATAGCTTCAAACCAGCCTTTTCTGGGAGAGGGTAGCAGGGAAGAAATCAGCAAACTAGTAATTTCAGCCATTTGAAAGGGTCTTTTTTTTTCCCCATTTCCTCAGAGATGTTTGCTAAATGCTGTATTCAACACTCAGCACTAGGATAGCATGCATAGCGTTTTAAGCAGAAAAATGCCTAATGATTTCTGTACAACTGCTATGTCCTAATGAAAAGACTTAGAAAATGGATATAATCCTGCTTCCTCGAACATCACAAAAATACACTGTACTGATAGCCACGATAAAAAGACTAGGTCACCCACATGCTGGTTAAACTCCCCTATAGCAGATGCTCAGTTGTACTTTTATGCTGCGTTGCTCCCTTCTGTGCATTTCAGGCATGATCCGATGCTTGCTGGAGTCCATGGGAGTTTTCCCGTCAACTTCAAAGGGCTTCAGATCAGCCTCTGCCTGAGAACTTCTCAGCCTCGGCTTCAGTCTTTTGACTGCAGGACCAGGCCACAGGCTCTTCACTTTCTTTCTTGAACTTTCCAAACAGAAGGTCTTTTGTGTTCCTCCAGGCAATGCCAGGCGCTGCTGACTGGCTTCAGCGTAGCTGCTAACACATGCTGGAGATAATAGTGATGCTTATTTCCGCTTTCTCCTAAAAACCGTCCTAGAGGGGGAAAGTGCAGTGGCTGGAAATCAGATCCTTGTATCCCACCTCCCCTCCTCACAAGTGGCCATTGTTTATGAGTGTGTGTGTCTGTGTGTGCAAATAGTTCCTTGATTAAAAGGCAGTATTGGCTGTGCTTCAGGGAGGAGTTTCAGGAAGATTTTAGGGGGAAAACACTGTTATCGCTATGATCTGCCAGCAGAGCAATCATGAGGGAGAAGCAGGCTGTCCTGGAGCAGGCGATCTTTCTGCAACGTGTGTACAGAACTGATGGCTGCCATCTGAGAACTGGGGGCTGATCAGCACAGTCTAACACTTTGTGTGCCCCTTCTTGCTTCCCAAATTTGACCAGCTTGATTCCATAAATAAAATACTGCTGTTAGTGAATATCAATTGATAACTTGGTTATGGAAAAAAACTTGGTTATTGGAAAAAAATAATAATTTTTCATTTGTTTGGTTGGAAGCAGTTTAATAAGAAATCCTTGTGACATTCTTAACAAGAAATTAAGTATCTGTGGAGTGGCTGGGTTAATTTGGACCATCCCCCTCCTTAAGAAACAACACTGATAACTCAAGTTTAAGGCTCATGTGTGGGAAAAGACTATTAGTCGCTGAAATTTGAGACAAAGATTATGATGTTCAAAATCAGAGCCACTGCTTTTAAATGCTTACATTTTACAGATGGTCAGCTTGAGACTCCTGAGAGATCTCTGCACGGTGTTGCAAATGGGGCATTTCAAAGGCAACAGTTGCTTTGTGGCGTTTATCTGTTGTGTGGCGCAATGCAGCAGGAAGCCTGCTGAGTTCTCTCCCAGTGTTTCTGGCTGAGTGGCATTTCCCTTAATGGTCTGTGTTGTAGTATTTACATGTTACTTTGAAAAGCGATACAAGGCATCATTCCCGTAGTCCTTTAATATAATTTCCATATGTCCTAGCATTCTGAATGGTTCCAAATGAAGTTTTCATATGTTATACACTACATATACCTTACCAGTAGGAAATTAAAAAAAAATCCATAAATCATAATATAACTATGCTCATAATAATATATTCTATAGCTGACTTACTGTGTTTGGGCAGAAATGTAACCAGAAGCACACAGGTGTTGGCACATTGTTGTTTGGGGTTTTTATCCATGAAGTCACTAAGTGATTCAGGAAGGCTGCTGCGATACCTGGTGACACATGTGGAGTTCCTGCAGCAGTCTGTGCAGGCGCAGCGGCTCTGCTCAACACAGCTCCTGTGGACAGGTCCCTAGCTCAGGGTTAGCAGCCTGCTGTAGTTGTCACTTTATAGGTGCATTCATTTCTGTATCTTGAAGGGAGTTGCTTTATGTTGTTGTCCTGATGTAAATCTCCGTGTTGGTCCTGTGTGTCCACCACGTTTCTGCCAGTGGCTGTACACCCACATTTTGTCAGTGGATAGTCAGTGACTTGAGTTTTCCGGAGAGATTAATGTGTGTTTTTGATAGGATTAGTTGTGTCCTGTCTCACTGCACTTAGAAGGAAAGTGAAAGGACATGGCAGAAATATTTTTTTTTTCTTCTTGACTATCTAAGGAGTACCTTTTATATTCTGAGTTATAATGTTTTAATTGCTTGTTTTATCTTGCATAAGATCATGTTTTGTATAACTGCCTGTACTCGCTCTATCCATAGGTTGACAGTGTATGTTTCCCTGTTGTTTGTTGCAGTGAGTTCCAGGCTAATTGCTTTATTGATGTATTTCTTTATTACTTGGAAATACACTGCTTTGCAAATGAGCTGAGGCTGTCTAGAAGACTAGGACTTACTTTCAATAAGTTCAATAATTCAATATTTATTTCTGCTCTTACTCCCTTCTCTAAATAACTCCCCTCTCTGTTTTTTTCTTCTTGGGGAAAGTCTGTGAGACACTGGAAAAACACTGTAGTTGTCTCAGTTTCTGCTGTTTTCTTTGAAGGTTGAGTGATCTTCAGAGCACCTGGCATTACAGTTGTGGACAGATGCACCATTAAATTCTTGAACATGAGATCAGTATTTTCCATCTGTAACCCTGTGCTCACAATAGATGGAATTCATTGATTGAAAACAACAGTGCTGCATATTTAGAAGAGCTGCTCACCATGCTTAAATCTTTCCTTATTTTCTGCAAGTTAAGTTCAACTCCAGCAGTATGAACAACTAGTTCTCACAGTTGTTTCCTCTCACGGGCTGTTTTTGGGTCATGGTGATTCTGTGTGACTTTCTAAGGTGTAAAATGTGACATGCGGAAGGATTTGTTCTCAGCAGCTTGTGAGTGTGGCTACCTTTAATTACAGCAAGAACCTTGAAATGATTGCACTGTCATTCTGCTCCGCAGACTAGACTATCATTAGTGCTAATCAGTGATGTCTGTTCTGCCTTTGCATCTTTGACCCAGTTACTTTGCTGAATTTAACGTAGTTGCAAGTGTGACACAAAGCAGACTCTTGGCACAGCCCTGATCACAGAGCAGGGAGGGATCTGGCAACTTTCACACAAATCCATTATAATTAAGGCTTCCGGTCTGGGATTTAAACTTCTTTCTCTTAAAAGCCTGAGAGGCTTTTAACAATATTTTTCAGACTGAAAATGAACCTACTGCTTATAGAGGCAAAGTCCCCTGATGGTACTAGCTGCAGGCAGACCTGGAAGAGGCAGGTGCGGCTCTTGTACCTTCATCAGGCTTTGAAAGTGTGCTTCCTCCTCGAGTGCTTTTTGAACAGAGTCTCCTAGTACTTCAGTTTCACGTGACAACAGCAGAGTCGCTTAAGCAGTTAGAGGAGTGTTGCACAGTTGGCTTTCTTCCAGTGCCAGCCTTTATTCTGAGTTCAAGCCTCGTGTAGCATTAATCCTCTTTGCCCACTTGGAGCCAAACTTCTGTATGCAAGGGGCTGTTAAAGAGAGTCCCATTTCCCTATCCTGGTAGAGGCAGTGCTGTGTCCTTGAACAACTTTTTCCTCCTCCACTTGCAGTTTGGTGACAAAAAGATGAATCAGAGGCTAAAACTTCTGCCAATGGCAAGAGCACAGTTTGGCATCCCTTGTGCAGTTGGCATCAAATGGATACAAGCCATCAAATTATCTGTGCTCCTGGTCCAGCAGAGCCTGTTGATTTATGACCAGAACATCCTTCCCCTCTTTAAAGTATGTTTGAAAGTTAAAAAGCATCACTAAGTGTTTGCAACATTATGGACATGCTGATGATAGTTGGACAATTTTGACAGTACAGAACCTGCTCCCTGCAATGCTATTTCATGCCTTTTTGGTAGAGAGCAAAAAGCAGTTCGAGAGCTGCAGCAGTATGGAAACATTTGCAGCTGCACAGTTCGCATTCCCATGTTTCAGTCTCTCACAGGCCCATGCAGATCTTCTATTATTAGTTTTAAAAGGAGAATAGCTGACAGCTGATTAATTTGAATGGCTTATTCCAGAGAGAGCTGTTTTATGACTGAGTTGTCAAGAGCGTCAAGCCAAGAAAAGTATTGAGTAAAGATACAAAGGAAAATCTCTGATGTAGAGCACAATCCTGTTTATCCAAAAGAATTGAAGAGGACAAAACCATCTTCATACCACTCTGCTGTCAACATGTTCAAACCTGTGCTGGGGGAGGTGAGAAGCTGAAGGGCTCAGCCTGGTGCATTCATCCCCCAGCAGTTCCTGGGAGAGCTCCCCAGGGGTTTT